TAATGCAGCATCTAAAGTAATGATGCAATTAGCATGAAATAAATGGAATTTGGAAATGCAAGAGGTAAGATCTAGATTGTCCTCAAGATACATGACATTGTTAATAATAACAATAGTATTACAGATACTATCACCTTACCAGGGGTTGATCTTGGCTTTGCTTCCATTGTAAGTCAAGGAAATTACTGAATGCATATACTTTCAAACTATTCTAAAGTCAAAAAATTTTCCAAATGAACCATTGTAAATCAAAGATCATCTGTATATTTATGTATATATATGTCACTATATAAAAACATATATAAGTATACATAAATGTACTGGTCTTATTGTTTATTTTGTCATAGGCAGTTTTGTCTTTGAATTCTAATTTCTTAAGGCTTCTGAACTACATTCACATATACCTCAAAGTAGCTAATTTTGTAGTTGTTGGAAAAGAATAATACATACTTCACAAACGAATATTTTCAAATGACCCATAAGAACTGAAAATACACTCCAAATCATTATTAGTTATTAGAGAAATAAAAATTAAAACTGCAATGTGATAATGCTTTTTACTCACTTGAGTAGCTAAATTCAAATGACTGATAGCACCAAATGTTGGTGAGAATGTCAAGCAATTGGGATTTTCGTATTTTGTTGGTAGGAGTGTAAAATGGCGAAATCACTTTGGAAAACTGTTGAAAATTTTCTTCAAACTTAGCACCAGAAAAATAGAAAAGCCTGTAGGCATCTGGAATTTTAATAAGTTTTTTTGGGAAACCAGGATAATACAGCAAGACTCTGACTGATGTAGTAGTTATGGATCAATAAACCAATTGAATGGACCAATGCTGGAACATATTCGAGAAGATATTGTATCTGAATTAAACTTCATGGAAGTTTATTTTAAGTTACACTGAATTAGATCTGTTCCCAAAATGGTTGTGGGTAACACAAAGTTAGAGATAAATGGCACTAATAGTCTCACACTTACTATCCCATAATAGTCTATGAACTAGACTGGTTTCTATATTCTGTAAAATATCCTGTGATATATAAAGGGTTCCCAAGGAGAATGATTGTTTGACATGGTGGGCAAGATTTATGGAAAATGGCATTGCCTTTGAATATTCAATATCAGTAGACTGTAATTAACTCTGGCATTGATGTCTTTTTTAGTGAAAATAAATAATTCAAAATCAAAGCTGTTGAAAATTTAAATTATTCTGATCCTTAAAAGGCTGTGATTATGGGACCTGAGTCACTAACAGATAGCTGTAACCTAGGAAGTTGTAGTATTTGTTTCCCTGATTATAAATTAAATTAGCCTTTTTCCATTACCTACATTGGTTTTTTGGGTTTGTTTTGTTTTGTTTGTGAGATGGAGTCTTGCTCCATTGCCCAGGCTGGAGTCCGGTGGAATGATCTCAACTCACTGCAACCTCCGCCTCCCAGGATCAAGCAATTCTCCTGCCTCAGCCTCCCCAGCAGCTGGGATTACAGGAGGCTGCCTCCACACCCAGCTATTTTTTGCATTTTTAGTAGAGATGGGATTACACCATGTTGGCCATGCTGGTGTCAAACTCTTGACCTCAGGTGATTTGCTTGCCTCTGCCTCCCAAAGGGCTGGGCCTACCTACATTGTTTTACAGAATGTTGTAAAAGACTACCAGATAAGATCCTTTCCCTCTTTACTTTAGATCTTCGTTATTGATTAACTTCCTTTTCCCTTGTCTTAAACAAAGACCTTAGGACTATTATATTGTCAAAGATAAAATGTTAAAAATACTAATTTAAACTGGAAAAGGAAAACAAACTATAATTAATCAATTTGCTGTAACTCATAAATCAACTTTGTATTGGAAAATGTAATTCTGCTAAATTTCTTTGTTTTCTGCCTATATAAGTAAAACCTTAACTTTTCAGCTTTGAGGCATTGATCTCATTTCTTTGGATTCTGTGTTTCCCAGATGGCCTTCCTTAGCTTTGCACTTGAATAAACACTTAAACTGGATTCTCATCCTATATATTATTTCAGGTTGACATGTCTTTTGTCACCATTTTCTCAATTATATTTATCTTTTGTGTCTTTTTTCTTCTAATCATGTCATATATGTTTGTTATTAAGCCTGCATGTAGATGCATTTAATATTCTCATACACTGGCAAATTAATGCCATATTTATCAAATAAGCATAAGCAAGTGTGTACACATACACATATGCACAGCTTTGTATACAAACCATTACTTAAACTGCAGACCAATTATTCCCAGAACATTAGGGCCATGCTCCAGGTCCAAGGCAGTAATATTTTGACACAGACCACAGGAGTAAAGTGAAAAGTTATAAATTGGGCAAGCAGAGGCCAAATGCAAAAATGTATGCAGGATCTCCACTAGGATGTGTGGTGCCTGGGACTTCTGTGGGTTATGAACAATTGAAACAAACTGTATGAACAATTTGAAAAAGATATGTATTAAAAAGCTCACTGACCTAATATACAGTATAGTAATTTATCTAGGTTAGGATTATGGATAAAGCATTAATTGTATATTTGGCTGTTGTCCAGTTGCTGCATATAAAGATTCTTAATTGTGTCCAGGCAACTTTCTCTTTCTGTTCAGTTCCATGGACTATCCATATTTTTTTATTGTCACAACAGGCTATTTCCGGCCATTTAATTTCTGCCATCACAAACAGAAGGTATCAAAATTGTTATTATCAACAATGCCATGGATTTTCAGAACAAGATATATCTTCTTGCCTCTTGTATTTCCACATTGCAATTATTTAATGCTAATTGCATCATTACTTTGTTGGGTTACCCATGCAAAATGTCTTCAATGACTTTCTGAAATACACACACACACACACACACACACACACATTTTCTGCTTCATTAGAGATTATCACAAATACCAGGCTTAACCTGTGCATTCTTGAAAATGCGAATGATATTTTTTTTTTCTGTTCTTGTTAAATTTATTGTTTGGAACTTTATAGTATAAATGTAGAACGACATTATGTTCTAACCATTTTAATTATTTAGACTCTAATCAACGCATTTCCAGAAGGTGATCTCTTTCAATGCTAACTACACTGGCTTTCTGTTGCACAGTGTTACCAGTTTGGATTATGAGTGACTCACATGTGCACAGAGCAAGAATATATCATTCATGCAAGGAATTCCCATACCTCATCTACAGTTATTTAACACCGATGAGAGAACATAATATTGTTATATCAGTTGGAGATAAAACAGGACATAGATTGAAAGTGCCTGGGGGCATTGCAGAGCTACAGTCTCAAAAGGTTTCAGAGTCTGCAGGTATAGCCCCTTCTGTGGGAATGCCTGACAGGTGGTATAGAGCCTGCAGAGAGGATGGGATGATCACTCAGGATGCCAGTGCCAGTGTAATAAGGTAAAGGATGTCTGCTGCCCCCACTGCCAGCCACTGCCAGTGGGTATTGTAGCTAGAGGACAGCATGAAGGTTTAAACACAGATGGGTGAGAGCTAGTGTATATCCCTAACACATGTCTCAAGCCCAAGGTTCAGCAGCGAAATATTGGTAGAACAGAGTCCTGAGTTTGTTTATCCTATGTTTGATATGAGTGAGAATCACCTCAAATCAACATGTCAACACCCTTCTGGTCCCATCTTGTTTGACTTCATGAAAGAAAACTACTGTCCAGAGTGATTTTATCTGTTACCAACTGACTCTTCTGAAATCAGGTCCCAGCCACGGGCTTCCAGGACAACTTGATAGACATGGATCACAGAGTTTCTTAGGACAAATGTCTGACTTCACAAGCTGGTGAGTACAGGATGAAGAGAGTCATAATTCTTTGAATAGGAGAATTAGGGTCACATGTGTTTGGTCCAGGGTCAGTGCACCTCATCTCAACAACATTGCTGTTCTCAGCTGGTTGAGGAAGCTAATCCAAAGAACAGGGGTCCCCTGAGAGATTCCAGTACAGTGACTCTGCTCAGCCCTAAGTGTGGTGTTGCAGTTTGATTATGAACCATTTAGGGCCAGCATTATGGTGCACTCCCATCTATACTCTGGATACTATTATGCTTATATTAATTTTTTTCACTCTATCAATATATTTAACCAGGAAGTTGTTTTATACACGTCGCAGATCCTTTCATATCACTGAGAGAAGAAAAAGCTTTGACTTTATTTAGCATGTCTTTATTTATATATGGTACAGCTATTGATGGCCTTGATGCTGGTCTGTGCTTACCACTCAGCACTGTGGACCACAGAGATGAAGACTGTGCTGATTTCAGCTACTCTTTATTACTATACTACATGAACCTGCACTCTGTTTCTGAAATCTCCCTCTTCTCATTACCAACACTAAACCCAGGCTACTCCTTCTACCTCCCATTTTACACACACACACACACATATATATATCTCCTATTAGTTCAAAGGAGAGTTTATCAAGTATTCACTCATGATCACAAGGTCCCACAATAGGCCATCTGTAAGCTGAGGAGCAAGGAGAGCCACTCTGAGTCCCAAAACTGAGGAACTTGGAGTTCAATGTTGGAGGACAGGAAGCATCCAGCACAGGAGAAGGATGTAGGCTGGGAGGCGGCTATCTAGTCTTTTCACATTTTTCTGCCTGCTTTATATTCTAGCTGCACTGGCAGCTGATTAGATGGTGCCCACCCTGCTTTTCCCAGCCCACTGACTCAAATGTTAATCTCCTTTGGCAACACCCTCACAGACACAACCAGGATTAATACTTTGTATTCTTCAATCAAATCAAGTTGACACTCAATATTAGCCATCACAAAGAGAGAGAGAGAAACAGCAAGAATCTGAAAGAAGAAAAGGAGCGAAAATGGCAGTAACAGCCGGACTGAGAGAGCATTAAAATAAACATGGGAGTCAGATATTTTGGAGATAAAAGACAAAATTTTGGATTCTGTTAAAAAATAGAAAGCTAGGAGCAGACATTGCTGCTGGATTATAACTTATTTTGTTCATCTATAAAAAGATTTATCTGATCAGTATCCTTCAGGATCTAAATTCACCTAAAGAGAAGATATATGGAAAAAATGGAGCTACCTCTCACCCTTGTTTGCAAGCAATTCTACTCCAAAGCCACCTCAACCTTCAGCATAGTTGCCTTCTCTATAATCTCTAGCTTTTTTCCAGGTACATGGAGGGAAGTGGGAGAAATGGTCAGCAAAGTTAGCTTTGTGTTATCTGTCAACACTAAACCACTGCTAGTCAAAATGAAAAAATCTGACAAGCATGACCATTACAGAAGGTTAAAAAATGGAGCTCAGATGATGATTATTTGGGTTGTATATGGAAATATTTATCCAAACTGTATCACAGAATTATTCTCTCTGTACAAATATTTTCACAACCTGCTCTCGGATTTGCTTGGTCCTGACTCCATAAATGACAGGGTTAAGGGCAGGTGGGACAACCACATAAAGGTTAGCCAAAAGAATATGGATATAGCGGGGAATGTTTTGGCCAAAACGATGGGTCATAAAAGAAAAAAATGCTGGTGTGTAAAAGCACAGCATAACACAGACATGGGAACCACAGGTGTTGAAGGCCTTTAGTCGGGCATCTTGAGAGGGAAGGCGAAAAACAGCTCGAAGGATAAATATATAGGAAGAGGCAATCAGGATAACATCCACAATAATATAAGAAATCACCACGAGCCCATAGATTATGTTGATCTTGATAGGTGCACAGGCCAACCGGGCCAGACCCATGTGCTCGCAGTATGTGTGAGGTATGATGTTATGCCCACAGAATGGCAGACGCAGAATGAGAAACACAAATGGAGTTACAAGAACTAAATTTCTTCCAACAACCACAGAAGCTAGGATACTGATGATTTTATTGGTGAGGATCATGGTGTACTGGAGAGGGTTGCAGATGGCAACAAAGCGGTCGTAAGCCATGACAACCAACAGAACAGTCTCCATGCCTGTAAACATGTGAATAAAGAACATCTGAAGAAGGCAGCCCCCAAAGCTGATCTCTTGGAGGTTGAACCAGAAGATTCCTAGCATTTTGGGGATGGTGGATGTGGACAGACCGAGATCAATCACAGACAACATGGCCAGGAAGTAGAACATGGGCTGGTGTAGGCTGTGTTCAGTTTTGATCACAAAAAGAATGGTCATATTCCCCACAATGGCAATCAGGTACACAATACAGAATGGGAAAGCAAACCAGACGTGCAAAGTTTCCAGGCCTGGTATTCCTAGCAGGAAGAAGAAGCGGGGATAGAAGTGGGTGTCATTGATAGAAGGCATTCTCCTGGCAAGTGTTACTGAATTCCTAAGAAGGATCTCACTTTCTTTAAGGCCATCTCTTGTCTAAGTCCTGTAGAAACAGAAAGACTCTTATCAGTGTGCTGGAGGTAATGGTATAGGTGGTTAATTTACAAACATTAGAGACTCACTTTTTTCCAGAGCGTAATTGAGAAAGCCTCTTAACACAGATTATTGTTCTGAGATCCATCATAGGCAATATTGCTCATGCCTTTATTTTTTTAATCTTTGAGATATTCAAATGAACTGGAAATATTTCACAATGCAATGCATATTTACATTGTGGCATTCCCTTCCATTACTTTCCTAAGTAGTCCTTCTTTACTTTAGGGGAAATCACCATACCATGTGTTTTTCAAAGTATGGTCTTGAGGTCTCTAGGGCTTTCTAAGTACCTTTCTGGTACTTACAAGCTCAAAACTATTTTTATAATAATAGAAAATTTTTAGCCATTCTCACTTTCATTCTCTCATAAGTACACAGTGACATTTTCCAGAAGTTATATGAGGTGTTACCATAATAGATTAAATAAAATTATAAACGACGTTATGAGGTTTCAGCTCTATTAACTTAGTAAAAACAGTTGCAAAGGAAAATAATGCAAAGTTCACAACTAATTTTTTGAAAAATAGTTATTTTAACAATAAGTATCAAATTATGTTTTTATATAATAGTTAATATTATTTTAACATTAAATATTTAAATTTTGCTCTAATGTCTAATAATATAAATATTACAAATATAATATTAGAAACTAAAACTCTTTTGGTATCTTACTAATTTCTAAAAGTGACAAAGATTCCTAGTACAAAGGAGAACTATTATTGTCTACCACTTCCTATGTTTTGTTATAATATAAGCGTAAGGATATGTCTCATGGACCTTATACAGTGACATTATGTAATGGTAGTTAATCAGATAGAATCTCTGTTAGAATTTTCCTGGTTCTAACTCAGCTAAATTGTTCAGTGCATTTCTATTATGGATTAATTGCTATTTTTGATGCTTCTAAATCTTCATGAACAATACAGTTTTTCCAATAAATGGAAATAAAAGGCCTTGTGTGTATCTGCCAAATTATGTTTCTCTTCCTTACAGTCTATAACATCAACGAGTAACATAAAAAAATTTCCATGTCCCCAAATTGTGCCTAGCTTCAGGTGTAAAAAGATCAAATATTTAGCAAATTTTCATATTGAAATTAAAATATTTTTAAGGAACCTTCATTGCCTCCTTGACAATAACAAGGAAAATTGCCTTACTTTAGCTTTGTGTCCTTAAAGACATTGTGCAACTCTGTAGTAACTAATGTAACCTGATTGTATAATATTTATGCATGTACTGGCCTTATTTCTACAAAGAGAATAGCTGCAACTAAAAGCTGAGAACCAGCGCTAATAATTTTAAAATGCTCAACACTGCCACATGAATGTTGGTTTCCAATTGTTCAGCATTTAATTTAATCAGGATTGGGGTTTGTAATTAGTGTGCTTTTGTTTGTGTGTAAGTATGTGTGACAGACAGAGAAAAAGAGAGAAGGTTGGAGAGATAGGAGTAGAGAGAGAAATCATGTTTTATTATGTGTGCGGCTGCATATACCAGTTGTCCTGTAACTTTGCCGGTTAGCTTTTGCACAGCAGAAGTACGCAGGCAAAGGGGTTAATAATTGCCCATTCTATACGGGAAGAACAAGAACATCTCTTGCTCTCAGAGAAGCTGAGAGAAAAATTGAAATAAGAACATACGTTTGCCTGTATTTTGGAAAAGATGCCAGGCTGAAAAGTCAGAGGGCAGTGGTTTTTGTGATTTCACCTAGAAGGGTGTGAGGACATAGCTAGGATGATGTGCTGTGAGATTTACAATCCAGAGTCAGCCCAGTCTTAAGAGTGGCTGTTTCTCAACGTGATACTTTGCCAGCTGAGAAAAAACATTCTCAGGGAGATGGCAAAGGGGACGCTTCGCTGACACTGCAATTCAAAGCTGCCAGGGGATCCACCCTTTCACAGTTTTACCTGAATTCTTGCCTTCTTCCTGTTATAACTGTATGCCACAGTAGCAGTGTATGGCCAAAGACAAATTCATAATAATTAGCAATTTCTCTCTTTTTGTGCTTACCAATGTTCATATTTTGAACTTGTGATTTTTTTTTCTTTGCTGGATTTTTTTTTCTGACTATAGTACTATATTACAGAGGTCTTCTATGGACCTTAAAACTATTCAGACATGGCTTGAAAACCTGCTAAAACACTTACTTGCTTGAGGCCCTTGGACAATTTCTTTAACTAGATAGATCAGTTTTTTTTTCCTGTAGAAATGAGATGATAAATTATAACTAATGTCGTTTATTTTAATGATAAATAAGAGCATTGTTTGCACAGGTGCTAGTACATAGTGTATCCTCAACAAATTATAGTTACTTATTTTATTAATTCTCCCAAATACTTTATTTATTTAATCCAAGATAGCTAAAATAATTCACCTGTTAGCAGAAAGAAGTTATTCTATTGTAAAATGTTTAATTTATGTCACAGTTGGACATAAGATTAGATAAAGGAGGGATGGCTCAGAAGAGACCAAAGTGAAGAAATGGCACAGAGTCAGACATTAATATTTATCTCTAGATTTTTTATGGATACAAATATGACCCAATACTGCTCATTTAGAAAGGAAACAATTTTCTCCCTTTATTCTTACAGCTTTCCCAAGCTTGATCAATGGATAAAGTGGATAAAGACCTTCATTCAGGCTCTTCCGTAATGGTGCCATTGAAGGTTGGGGTCTGGCTGATTTAGCAGGGGTATTGTGCTTACAATAAAAATGGCTTGGGTATGGTTCCATAAAGTAGTAACTATACAGGGAACCAAGTTACAATTTGCAACATTAAATTCATTCAGACAATGTGGGAAAGAGAGAATAAAATTGTACAGATCAAATGTGTTAATATCCATGTAATTTTATTTGAATGCTGACTTTAAGTAACACCCACCCACCACCTTAAACATCCACATATAAATGAAGTCTGCCATAACATCCTTTTGTCTTATTGACACTTATGACTGTATTTGTGGTGTTTTGGCTGTGAACAGTGTACTCTGTGAGTGTGTGTGTGTGTGTGTGTGTGAGAGAGAGAGAGAGAGAGAGAGAGTGTAGGAGAGAGAGGGGAAGAGGAGGGAGGGAGTGAGACAGAGAGAAAGATACAGAGATACAGAGACAGATAGAAATTCGGTACATTACTAATTGGTATACAACTGACCTCACCTATGGAAGTCTGTTCCAATCCTATATGCTCTGCTGTGTTCCTCTGTGAAGAGGATGGTGCAATGGTGCTTGGGATAATTCTTCAGAAAAGTGGAAGAACCTAGCCTCTTCTATTCCTCATTTGCCTTCTTCTTTCCTCTGTAACTTCTCCTTTCTGCCCAAGCGTTCTTACCTTTCTAATATTTCTTCTCCCAAACCTCACTTTGGAGCAGAATTGCAGCATGAGCCCAGGTTCTTAAAGACAGCGATTAGTTTCACCTTCAAGCCTCTGAGCAACGAACCTGCCTAGTAACGTGGAGAAAACTTTATGGTGAGTGAGTGCATCCTTATGACCAAGCATGTCCCAGAATCCCTGAGCCTAGCCTTCGGAGTCCTCTGGGCATAAACATGGATTCAAGGGTCATTAAGTCTTAGCAAGTCTTTATTTCTCTTTATTGCATCTGCAGAGAAACAGCTTGCTAGATATAACTCCTTAGCTCAGGGGAGCAGATGTGTTATGAAATGATGGGATGGGAACTATCCAGAAGAGAAAGGAATCTGTTTGGCAGATGATGTTAATTCAGCTTCCCTCAGGAGCCATGAAAGCATTGATTTTATACCATTAAGTCTTCACTGTGTGACTATGAAAATAAATCTGTTCTCAGCAACTTTTCTGTTTTAATATATTTGTGTAAATCCTGATGTAGTTTCACAATGGTTACAATTGAGGGTTCAAAAGATGAAGGAGAAGACATCTAAAATAGACAAATTCAAGAAGGAGCCTCTCAGGAAACACTACTTCTGCTCTGGCTGGAAGGGACAATATAATATGTTTTATCGGGAAAATGTAACGTTTTCCTTTGTGGCACAACTCTGTTTATTGACAGTGTGTATGCCTGCAGATAATAGCAGCAACTTTCTTCCAATCCAGCAAAATTTTCCTTCTTAGTCTATGACTAATGGTGAATAGATACAGTCTTTGGAGAGAGGCTTGCATGTGTTTCAGCTCTTTTGGAAGAAGGTGAAGAAAACTCCACATTTTCCTGATAAACATATTATATTGCCCCTTCCAGCCAGAGTAGAAGTAGTGTTTCTTGAGAGACATTCTTCCTGAATAATGATAGAATGGACCTGATAGTACTCCCAGGGCATGCTACGGAGCCTGGGTATTCTGACTATAGTTAGAAATAGACTGATGGAAAATTGAATACATTAGACAATTAGTTGGTACCTTTTGCCTTCTAAGTTGGGACTGTTTTGAGTTGTTAGCACAGAAATAGTAATGTTGTCTGTGGTCCAAGAGAGATTCTGGTTTGATCTGCCATGTTCTTGTATTCATTACTTCTCTTGATTAACGAGAAAGTGACTCCCTAGCTTCCTGATTCTCCTTCATTGTGCCCACCTTCCTTATTGTATCCACATTCATCTTCCCAAATCAAGTCTGACTCTACTCAATTTCTGCTTAAAATTCCTTTCCATAACCCCTACATTCTCCATTGTATACTGCAGACTTTACAAACACTCCTGTTGCCAAAGTCCTTCACTCAGTATCCAATCAGCCTTTTATACTTTCATTGTACTTCATGACTCCCAAACAGACATCCTGTCTTTGATAATCAAAAGTCCTCCATATGAAATAACTATCTCTCATTTCCACTTTGCTTCAGCACTTTCTCAATTGTCCTATACTTCTTAGTGATCTTTTACATGAATCAATCTGATAGACTCTTTGTGTCTTTTGTGTTTTCATATCAGTTTGTACCACTATTATAACAGGCAACTTTTCTTTTGTGTTTTCTCTCTTCCATTATTTTATGGATTGATATTACAGTGATGTTTAAGCCAACTTTATCCTTCAGTTCAGCTAGTACAGTGCTTTGATTATAGGAGATGCTCTGGCATTATTGAATTACATTTTTTTTAAAACATAAAAATTCTAGTTCTGTGAGGGTCACAATATCATGTAATTGCATATCTCCTAATCTGTCACTGTATCTACCCCTTTCCTGTTCCTAAGATTATTTCACTGTGACTTCTGAAATCAATTTTTTACAAGCAGTGGTATTATTTTTGGCCTTAAATCACGTCTGATGTTGTTTCTCTTCCTTTTGAAACAGAAACTCAGCTGTTCCCTGAGGACATTACTTGTCCTGAAAAGTGCTGAGGGATTGGATACATTTTCCCACTATTTTCACTATTTCCTCATACCAAATAGCCTAAAGCCTAGAGACTGTTTGTCTTTGACTTTTGACATTTTGACATTATAATGCCTCCGGGAGGACCTTCTTGAGTTGAATT